CCGTCCCCGGCCGCGGCCGCCGACGCCGGAAATACACACCCGGAAAACCCGCCCTCGCGTCCCTCCCCCGGGGGCCCGCCTCCCTTCCCAGGGCACCCCGGGAGTTGTAGTCTCTCTGCCGGTCGGAGGAGCGGGCCAGAGGGAGAGCGGAGGGCCTCGCGGTGGGCTGCAAGCTCCCCAGCACCGCCTAGCGGCGACTCGCAACGAACAATGACCAAGGCTTAGTCCCCACCCACCCCAATAAAAGACCCTGAACTCTTGACTCTTGGAGAGGAGTGTTTGAGCACTCAGCTAAATATTCAGTGAAAGCAACTGGGCTTTCTTGGCTTTCACATTTAACTATTCCTTCAGGACAATAACTTAATCAAGTTCTTGGTTTGAGACAAGGACTAGCACCATTCAAATGTCTTAACACTTGCCTTGCTTGAGCTCTTTCTAGCTTTTAGCTAGCCTTTGATTCAACCCAGCAGTGTCAGAAAAACTCCCCAAGAAACCTATTCAATCTTGGGACGATGTGCATGTTATAAAATGCATTCACTCGGGCTGGAGATTTAGCTCCGTGGTTCCGCCGCCTGACTCGCAAGTGCAAGGACCCCAGTTCGATTCCCCGATAACAAAAAATAATCATAATACTAAAAAATAAATAAATGCATTCACTCAGTAAATACTTCTGGGAGCCCGGTGTGGCGGCACACGCCAATAATCTCAGTACTCCGGGAGGCTACGGTAAGAGTATCGCTTTGTGCCCAGCCTGGGCAATTTATGGACTCAGGGAGATCTTCTCTCAAAATCTAAAAAGCCCTGGGTTCAATCCCAGTTCCGCAAGCAATAAATAAATAAATATACTTACTTCTTGGGGTCCATACGGAAGTGTCACACCAACTCCACAGCTCAAAAAAAGAAAAAACAGGTTTTGATACAAAGAGGACCTTTCCCCGGGTGGGAAATACTGACCATCCTCTGACAATGTTCTCTGAAGAATGTGTTATTTACTCCCTTGTAATAGGGGTTTAAGTGGTTCAGTGAAGTTCAAACAGTGGTTGATAGAGCTGAGAACTAACAGGGAATGTGTTGGTCATTCCTGTGTGTTCAAATAAACACAGGATAACACTGCCGTCTGATTCCTGACTTTGTTGGGGAGTTGGAATAAATGGCTTCTAAAATTCTCCCTACTGTGAAATTCCATGAAAGTCAGTGTAAGACTGGTCCTTTCAGCCAGGCATGGTGACAAATGCCTTTTGTCCCAGCACTTGGGAGGCTGAGGCAGGAAGATCACAAGTTCAAGGCTAACAGTGGGTTCAAAGACAGCCTGAACTACATAGTAAGACCCTGTTAAAAGGAAGGAAAGGTGGAAGAAAGGAAGGAAATCTTCCCTTTTAAATCTGGTGTGCAATTCATGATAATGTAACAAAATGGTTTGGTATACCTGTGTTTGGCATGGTGGTGTCAGTAGTAAGGACTAAGCCAGGATTTCAAGCATGCTAGGAAAGCACTCTACCATGGAGACACAACTACAGCTCCGGAGGAACGAGAGAGGAGATTATGGTGCTGCATGCTTGTAATCCAAGATCTCCGAGAGGCAGAGGTAGGAGAGTCACAAATGCGAGCCCAACTTGCGCAATACAGCAACTTAGCAAAATCTTGTCTCAAAATTTAAATGTGTGTGTGTGTGTGTGTGTGTGTGTGTGTGTGTGTGTGTACCTCAGTGCAAATGCCCTTGGTTCAATTCCCACTATGGCCAAAAAACAAAAAAATAGAAAAAGTTACTAGATCCTTTACCTATCTCCAGCCGCATTCAGGGGGACAGAAAAAGTCAAAAGGAATTCGTTAGAAGATATCACAGGACAGCATGCTCACCTCACTACAAAGGGGGTAATACAAAAGGTGAGTATCTCTGAGGTCTTCCTCCGCTAGTGAGCCATGTGGACTAAGCCCATCCTGTGCAACCACCATGGGCAGGTTTGTAGGTGAACTAGACATGACTCTCCAGTTTGGGACCTTTGAATGTGTATGTAAAGATAGTTATCCACTTCTTGCCTGCACAATTTTAAACTTGGGAAGCTGGTCCACACTACAATAGGACAGGGACAAGGGCAGTAATGGGTCAACCCCCAACACCTGAGTTTGGTATGGCAAGACTCACGATGAATAAAGGATGCTAGAAAGATAGGTTACCCAGGATCTTCTTTTGTCTCTTTAGATTTTTTAGGTTGTTTTTTGTTTTTGAGACAGAATTTCAATATGTAGTTCAGGCTGGCATTAAGCAATTGCTGATGCTCACAGCAATCCTGCTGCCTCAGCTCCTGAGCGCTGGGATTACAGTCGTCTGCCACCATTTTTTTTTTTAACAGTACTGGGAATGGATTTAGGGCATTTGTATTGGTGTACTGGTATGGAGACTCTTTAACTCCAGATTTTTTTCGAACTTGACTAGGTTGGGCTTGAATTTATGACCCTCCTGCCTCAGCCTCCCAGAGCACTGGAGTCACAGGCATGTGCTATTATGCCTGGCCTGTATCTAGGATCTTCCTGAAAGGACTACTCAACAGGTTCACCTGCCAGAGGGAGAAGACCCAGTAATACCAACTAGAGCATAGACTTCAGGAGGCAGTTACATGAGGGATCTCAAGACCTAGGTAGAGGGCCTCCATAAATGTTGCCTGTAAGAAGTAACCATACTGGTTTCTACCTCCTATGTCATCAGTCATGTAAGAGGTGGTTTTTTGGTTTGTTTTATAAGGCAGGGTCTTGCTATGTAGTTCGGAATGGTTTTAAATTCACTATGTAGCACAGGCTGGACTGAACTCATAGCAATCCTCCTGCCTCAGCCTCCCAGGCATGCAAGTCACTATGCCTGGCCTTCACCTCTTATACTTCTCTGCCTCCTCAAAACTACCCCTGCCACGAGAAGACCCAGAAACAGCAAAATGAAATATAATAAAGTGTAAAAATGTAAAATAAACCACATTTTTAAATGTCTGTGAGACAGGAGAAGCTTTAAATTAGATATGAAACTTAAATTTTGATTTAAGCTAGACTGGACTTTCAATCACTACAACTGACATGGATTTAGGCAGCTGAGTAGGCCATGCGTGCTGTCCTCTCAGCTACTCAGGAGGCTGGGGAAGGAGGACAGCTTGAGTCCAGGAATTCTAGAGTAGCCTGAGCTACACAGGAGGAACTCTTCTCTTACAAGACAGAGGAGGGGGCCAGGGATTTGTCTCAGTGGTGCTGCTGCCTTGCCTCACAAGGGCAAGGTCCCAAGTTCAATCCCCGGTACCAAAAACAAAGACGGAGAAGGGGAGAGAGGTTGCGATTGGCCCACGGTGGTTCCCAGAGGAATGAAGATCCAACAGAGCATGGATATAATTTGTACCCCCTTCAAATCCGTCAATATATCTTCAGTTCTTTTGGGAAAAGAAATTACTATAGACTGGATAGTTTATAAAACAGTATGGTGGCGTATGCCTGTAATCCTAGTACTTCGGAGGCTGAGGCAGGAGGATCGTGAGTTTGAGGCCATCCTGGGCTACAGAGCAAGTTCAAGACCAACCTGGACTACAGGAGGAGACTGTCTATACATACATACATACATACATACATACATACATAATTTCTCACAGATCTGGAGGTACTGGCAGATTGTGTCTGTTGAGAACCTGCTTTCTAGTCCATAAATGGCACCTTCTGTTTGTGTACTCACATGGAGAAAGGAAGAAGATAACTGGGTGGTATTAACCCCATTCACGAAAAGTTACCCATTGTGATCTGTTTCCCTGCCTTCATCTTGTACCGCCTACTTGACTCACCTAAATTTCTACCCTGCCCCAGTTTTATTTTTGAGGACAAGATGCCTCTAAGTCAGAAATCCCTCTTCAGCTGGCAGAGTGACTGCCAGACTCAACTTCAGTATAATTACAGCCAGGCGTGGTGGCATAGGACTACCTCAGGAGGCTGATGCAGGAGGACTTCCATGAGTTTGGGACCAACCTGGGCTACCTAGTAAGTTCAAGGCCAGCCTGAACTACACAGCGAGATAGCATGACAGACACTGTCTCAAAAATACCCCCCCAAAAGGTGAAGTAAACAAAAAAATTATAATCACATTTGCATGCTAAATGACAGCGCCCCGACAATCGACAGTTACCACTGTCAAGACCAGAAAGAACACCAAGGGATGGGGATTTAGCTCAGTGGTTTGGTGGCCTGCCTTGCAAGCGCAAGGACCCGAGTTCAATCCCCAGTACCAAAAAGAACCCTAAAAGAAGCAAAAAGAGGTGGTATCCAAATTCTGGGAAAAATCTCTGCCCATTCCCAGAAAATAGGTGAATACAGCATTTCTCCCCTTTATTAGGTTCTTATTTCTTTTACCCTCTACGGCCACCCCCTTAATGGGTTGGGAAGCTGGTTTGAGAATTTATGTCCCACTTCTCTATTCTTGACCAAGAACAGTACCCTTTCCCAATAGGTGCTTGGTCATGTTATTGGTTTTACAATTCTAAGAGAAAGAAAGGATCCATTCTAGAGTCAGAAATTGCTAACAGTTCCCAAAGGCCCCAACTCCTAATACCATCACATTGGTGGTGATTAGGTTTTCAGAATTTGGGACGCCACACATTCAAACGAAAGCAATATTTATTATGGTACCATCACCTGCTCAGTTTCCGAGACACTTGTATTATTAGTCAAGGTTTGCTGGAGAAACAGAACCAACAGTAGATAAATAGGTAGGTGGATAGATACAAAAGAGCATAGGAATTTGTTCACATGGTTGTGGAGGCTGATAAGTCCCTTGATGTACCATCTACAAACTGAAAAATCAGGAAAACCAATGACGGAATTCAGTCTGAATGTCTGAGAATCAGGGCTTAATGGTATACATCCTAGTCTGAGTACGAAATCCTAAGCACTAGGAGCCCTGATGTCCTGGGCAGGAGGAAATATCTGAGCTCAAGCAGACCATCAATTCACCTTTCCTCTGCCTTTTTCTTCTATGCAGGCCCTCAATGGACTGGGTGATGCTTTTCCACACTGGAGAGAGCTATTTTCTTTAGTCTGCCTAGTCTTTTCTGGAAACATCCAGATACACTCAGACATAATGTCTTACTATCTGTATGGGCATTCCTTAGCCCAGTCAAGCTGACTCACCAGTTAACCAACACAATTCCTAAACTGTTTCCTCTATTCCCCAACCACTTAATTTAGCTTTTTCTCTTGAAAATGTCCCTCAGGCCAGGGATGTAGATGAGCAGTGCTGTGCCTGATTGGCAAGCACAAAGTCCTATGTTCAATTCTTGTACTGAGAAAAGAAAAATTGCCGGGGATTTAAGTTAGTGACACCGTGCCTGCCTGGCAAGCCAAAATTCCTCAGTTCCATTCCTGGTACAAAAAAAAACAAAAAAAATTCCTCTGGGTTACCGGTTATTTGTTCTTTGCTTTCTGAGAAAAAGTCTCGCTATATAGTTCAGGCTAGCCTTGAACTCTGTGTAGCCCAGGGTGTCCTCAAACTCAGCGATCCTCCTCCCTCAGCCTCCCGAGTGCTGGGATTACAGGTGTGCGCCACCACCCCCAGCAGGGTTACCATTTCTGCATTATCTCCTTTAAAATCTTTTAAAATTGTGATTGAAGAGTAATCCCATACTCACCAGCTTTCACTGTTCCTTCTGTTGAGAGCTACAAAGAGAGCTCCTGGGAGATCAAGAGACATAGAGGACTGGTTGATTACACTAATCATCTTTCTCATCCCTTTTTCACATCAAGTCCAAGAGAATGATCTGTAACCTATACCTTTTTCTTACTATTTCAAATTGTATCATCATACCAAAAAAACAGAGGCAGGGCCGGGGATTTAGCTCAGCCGTTCGGTGGCCTATCTCGCAAGCGCAAGGACCCAAGTTCAATCCCCAGTACCAAAAAAAAAACAAACAAAAAAAACAAAACAAAACGGTAGAGGCTTTTCAGTCACTCATTTGCTTTCAATTTTCAGGCCAGTCTTTTAGTAGCTAATAAGAGTTTTATTTCTCTGATTTGGGGGGGGGTCTTCAGAAAAATAGGGATAATAAAACTGGTTGTTGTAAGGGTATAAGACAAGCCAGACAAGATGGCACATGACTATAATCCCAACATTGTAGGTTGAGATAGGACACTTTCAAGGTCAAACCCAATTTGAACAATTTCATGACTCAGCAACACCATGTCTCAAAGTAAAGTGTAATAAAGGGCTAAGGGTATAACTCAGTGTGAAGGCCATGAGTTCATTCCCCAGTACTGGAAAAAAAAATATGAGATAATACGGGACACGGTGAATAAACATTATTTTATAAGCCAGACAAGATGGCACATGACTATAATCCCAACATTGTAGGTTGAGATAGGACACTTTCAAGGTCAAACCCAATTTGAACAATTTCATGACTCAGCAACACCATGTCTCAAAGTAAAGTGTAATAAAGGGCTAAGGGTATAACTCAGTGTGAAGGCCATGAGTTCATTCCCCAGTACTGGAAAAAAAATATGAGATAATACGGGACACAGTGAATAAACATTATTTTCTTTCTGTATAGAATTGTCACTATACGATACTAAGAAGGTATCACTACTTAGTAGTCACCTATCATTGGCTACACCGACAGGTAACCAATGTCCCTAAATTTAAGTAGACTGTAAATGTGACATTCTCAACATCACTGGAATTTCCCACCCATCCTCTTACAGTTGTCGTGCCATTGCTTGTCCATTTGAACTTTTTTTAAAAATTAGTGTTAGGTAGTTAAGAGGTGGACTTTTTTTCTTTCATTTATTTTGGTACCAGGGATCAAGCTCAGGACTTGTGCTTGTGAGACAGGCAGCAGCACCACTGAGCTAACTCCCCGGCCCATTTTCAAGTGTTTAATGCTTTCCTGTGGTCCACAAATTCAATTCCGATCACTCTGCCCCTTCCTTCGTTGCTCTCCCCCTCAGCTGACTCCTTTCCTTTCCTTCTCTTTTGTCATCCTGTCCTCCTCAAACTGGCCACACTCTTTTCTACCTCAAAGCCTTTATATTTCCCCTCCAGTTTCAGTCTAAAGGTCATTACCACAGAGAGGTATTCTGTGCCACCTAATTAGAAATAACCTCTTATGCCTGTCAATTCATTAGCCATCACATCACTCTGCTTATTTCCTTCTTAACATTGAATGCAGTCTGTCATCTTATTTCATTTTTTTTTTTTTTTTTTTTTTTTTCAGACAGAGTCTCACTACTTAGTTGAAACTGACCTGGAACTATGTAGCCCAGGCTGGTCTCAAACTCATAGCGATCCTTCAGCCTCAGCCTCCCGAGTGCTGGGATTACAGGTGTGTGCCACCACGCCTGGCTATTTCACTCTTTTAAAGCTCATCTCCCTACAAAATATTGCAGTGGTCTCATTCATTTTTTTATTTTTTAGGTACTGGGGATTAAACGCAGGTCCTTGTACTTGTGAGGCAGGCAGCGGCACCACTCAGCTAAATCCCCAGCCCTAACATTTTATTTTTGAAACAAGGTCTCACTATTTAGTTCAGACTGGCCTTTAAACGCACTGTGGAGCCAAGGCTGGCCTTGAACTTGTGCTGATCCTCCTACCTCAGCCTCCTGAGTGCTGGGATTACAGGCATGTGCTACCACACCAGCCTTTCGTTTTGTTTTGTTGATAGAGGGTCTCAGTATGTCGTTCAGGCTGGCCTTGAACTCACTATGGAACCCAGGCTGGTGTTGTGGTGATTCTCCTGGCTCAGCCTACTGAGTGCTTGGATTACAGGTGTGCACCATCATGCCTGGTGATTTTGTTAATCTTGTTTGCAATTATAGTCTTCACTCCTGCAATAGTGGCTTGCACATGGCAAACACTCAATAGTAGTTAGGCAAGTGCTAGTAGCTGTCCTGTCACAAATGTCTGCTGTTCTAGTGCTCGCTTCATCAGCACATATACAAATATCTGCTGTTCTAAATGTCTGTGTCCTATAGTACATGAACTTTTTCATCTTAGACACTCCAGATTAGATGAGGTAGGAGTGGAGGAGCTGTCACCAACCAACCAGTTGACCTTGATTTTACAAGTACTACACCCAACCCTTTGGTTTTAAAACAGGGTCTTGCTATGTAGTTCAGGTCGGTTTTAAACCCGTTACGTAGACCAGGCTGGCTTCAAACTCACAGTGATTCTTCCTGCCTTGGCTTCCCAAGTGCTGGGACCACCAGCGTGTGCTACCACACCAGGTTTATAGGTCCTATCTTATAGGTCCTACTGGTTTCACACTGAAACTTGGAAACATTAGCTGGATCAATCTAAGAAATTAAGTCTGCCAAAGGAATTGAAATAAAATCTGTCACTTAGGGGCCGGGGGTTTGCTCAGTGGTTGTGCTGCCTGCCTCACAAGTGCAAAGGCCCGAGTTCGATCCCTGGTACCCCCACCAAAAAAAAACCTGTCACTTAGAATTAAACAGAAAAGGTGATAAAACAAACAAACAAAACTCTGCAAAATAAGAAGCAGGAGTGTCCCGGAAAAGGCTACCTCAGTTCCTAAGAACTTTCAGTTATCCAGTCCTATTCCTACAACCCATATCACACTTGCCATTTTTGGAATATTATGACATGTTCCCTTCCTTCCTATTACATCAGGAGAAAAGATTCAGTGTGGTGTAATTATGTGTTTTTAAATGGCTGACATGCTTTTTCTTTTTCTTTTTTTTCAGTATCAGGGATCAAATTCAGGACCTTGCACTTGCCAGGCAGGTGTTGTGCGGTGCCACCGAGCTACATCCCCAGCCCCTATCTTTCTTTCTTTCTTTCTTTTTCTTTCTTTCTTTCTTACTTATTTAAATTTATTTATTTATTTATTTATTATTTATTAATTTATTTATTTATGTATTTATTTATTTATTTATGGTGCCGGGGAGCAGGTGGCAGAGCCACTGAGCTAAATCCCCAGCCCCCTACCTTTCTTTTTTAAAAATGAGAGAAAAGTGCTGGGGATTTACCTCAGTGGTTCTGCTGCCTGTCTCGCAAGTGACAAGTCCCAAGTTCAATCCCCAGTACCCCCCAAAAAAATATATATGCAAGAAGGCAAGAGTAGATATGTAGGTTTCCTCACATTTTTATTTATTTATTTTTGGTACCAGGGATCGAACTTGGGACCTTGCACTTGCGAAGCAGGTGGCAGAACCACTGAGCTAAATTCCTGGCTCCTTCACATTTATTTTTATGATTACATTTGCTTTATGGATAAGCTTCTACTGGTTTCCCACTGAAAACAAAGTGTTAAAAAATTGCCTTGAGCCAGGCGTGCTGGCATATGCCTGTGATCACAGTACTCAGGAGGCTAACGCAGGAGGATCACTGTGAGTTCGAGACCAGCCTGGGCTCATAGTGAGTTCCAGGTCAGTCTCAACTACATAGTGAGACCCTATCTCAAAAAAAAAAAAGAAAAAAGAAAAAAGAAAAAAATGCAAAAAGCAAATAAAATTGCCTGAGGCCCAGGGATTTAGATCAATGATTACAGCGCCTGCCTCGCAAGTGCAAGGACCCAAGTTTGATTCCTGGTACCAAAAAATAAAAATAAAAATAAAATAAAATGGCCTTGAAAAAGAGTTGAATATGATGGTAAACCCAGCACTCTGGGAGGCTGAAACACAAGGACTGAGAGCTCAAAATGGGCAATTAAGTGACTTAGTGAGAGCCTTTAAAAAAAAAAAAAAAAAAAAAAAAAAAAAAAAAGAGCGCTTCGTGTGGTGACCCATGCCTGTGATCCCAGCACCTATGAGATCAAAGTAGGAAGATCACCATGAGTTTGAGGCCAGCCTGGGCTCCACAGTGAGTTCAAGGCCAGCATGAACTATATAGTGAGATTCTGCCAAATAAATAAGTAAATGAGACATATGACATAAAAATACATTTCTTATTGATCAGAGCAACTTTGTTGAGTTACTTAAAATATTTTGCTTAAGAGTCAGGCACTAGTTCATTGTTTCTGCTGCCTACCTCCAAAGCAAAAGGTCCTGAGTTGATCCCTGGTACCAAAAAATATTTTTATAGAGGGGATGTAATATAACTTGCCATTCTCTATAATAAGAAATGGAAAAATACAAAACATTTACACCCCAGAGAGCTACAAACTCTTGATCAAGTGGAGAAAATGTCTCAAGATAAATTTGACATGCTTTGTTTTCTACCATAAATTATCATCCTAGACCCAGACATAGTGGCACACTGGGAAGCTAAGAGGGTCACAAGTTCAAGCCCAGTTTAGACAACTTAGCAAGACCCTGTCTCAAAAAAAAAGGGGAGGGGATGGACACACCTCAGTGTGAAAGCCCTGAGTTCAACTGCAAGTTTGGGGTGGGGTGCTAATCTTTATATAATAAGACACCTTGTTGAACTTTTTAACAGCTTAAATAGGAATTCTACTGAATATTCAACACAGACCTCCTCTGCATATGACAGTTCTTACTTTTGTACCTATTAGTACTTTTTATTTGCAGTAATCGAGATTGAAACTTTTCACTCAGCTACATACCCAGTGTGTGTTTGTGTGGTTTTCTGGTGGGCTTTTGTTTTCAGGGGAGATTGCCTCTTTTGGTTGTTAAATTTTGAGACAGGGTCTCACTAAATCTCTTAAGTTGCCCGGGCTCATCTTGAACTTGTGATCCTGGCTTAGACTCTCAGAGTGCTTAGATGATTGTAATATACCGACTTTCCTGGATGAACACAGATGGATTTTTAAAAATCCAGTATGATAGACTAATCTTCTAGGTTAGAATCTGCTCCAAATCATCATAATGGTATAGTTACTCTAGATAATATAGCATTTTCTATTTATTCTCTTTGCTCTTCCATCAAGCTATGTGTTTCACAACTATAGATTTTGTTTTGTAGTTACTCTTGATTTTACTTTATATTTTGATTTTTGGGAGAGGGTCTTGCTGTGTAGTTCAGGTTGGCGTTGAACTCACTAGGTAGCCCAGGCTGGTCTTGTACTTGCCAGACAGGTGCAGTGGTGCCGAGCTACATCCCTGACCCTAGCCTTGAACTTGCAGTGATCTTCTTGCCATAGGCCCCCAAGTGCTGGGATTATAGGCATGTGCCAGCCTCTTGACTTTAAAGGGATATATTTAACTGGGCATGGTATCTTATCTTGTAAACCCAGCACTCTGGGAGCTGAAGCAAGAAGATTGCAAGTTTAAACTCAGTTTGAGCAATTTAATGATTTAGGGAGATCTTTCTCAAAATAAAAACTGCAAAAGGACTGGGGATATATAGCTCTATGTAAAAGCCCTGGGTGCAATCCCCATTAGAAGGGAGGGAGCCAGGCATGGTGGTTCACACCTGTAATCCTACACCACAAATTCAAGACAATTTGGGCTACCTAGTGAGTTCAGGGCCAGCCTGAAGTACATAGTGAGCACTTGTCTCAAAAAAACAAACAAACAGGAGGCGGGGAGCCAGATGGGGTGGAACATACCTGTAATGCCAGCACTCTTGAGGCTGAGGTAGGGAGAATCACTGCAAATTTAACCTCAGCCTGAATCACACAGACCTTCAGAAGCATTTCTCTGGGAAAATATTCTTCACTTTTATGTTCATTTGTACTGGGTTTATTAGTAAATGAAAAAGTTTTTTTTAGGAGGGCTGTGGATTGGATGGACTCAAGGTTGTAACATGCTAGGTAATCATTCTTCCACTGAGCTACATCCCCAGCCCAATGTCTGAAGTGTTACTATTAGTTGCTAAAATGATAAATACTGATAAAGTTCATGTAAACAAAAGTTCTTTGGGGCCTCAATTTTTTATTATTTTCTGCAGCAGTAAGGATTAAACCCAAGGCCTTCACACTGAGCTAAATCCTTGGCCCTATTTATTTTTTCAGTACTGGGGATCAAACTCAGGACCTTGCATTTGCCAGGGAGGTGCAGTGCAACTGAGCTAAATCCCTGGCTGCCAGCCTATTTAAAAACTTTTTTTAATTTAATTCTTAACTTTTTAAATTTTTTGGTATTAAGAATTTAATGCAGGATCTTCTCACTGAGCTACATACCTTTGCCCTTAAAAAATTTTTCTGGGGACCAGGGATCTAGCTCAGTGGTTCCGCCGCCTGTCTTGCAAGTGCAAGGGCCTGAATTCCAATCCCCGGTACCATTAGACAGGATTGAAGTCACTAAGTTGCCCAGTCTGCAGGAGCATAGGGAAAAAAATAAGAACCAAGACATGTCATGTAAAGATACAAGAACCCAATGATGAATGCAACTGTAACGTATACTTTTAAAAATGTACCAATTAACTCCATAGAAAAAAAAAAGTTGCCCAGTCTGGACTAGAGACCCTGTCCTTCTAACTTCATCTCCGATGCGTTGGGATTATACTCTGTGCCACCAAAGCTTAATCTTCAAGAGCATAAGAGGATCCTAAGGCCAACACATTTGAGAACTGTTGGTTTAAACTTTTAGATTGGGGGAGGGTACCAGGGAATGAACTCAGATCCTTGGGCTTGCAAGTCAGGTGCAGTGCCAAAGAACTAAATCCCCTGCCCCAAACGTTTAGATTTTTATCACGAAAAAATAAGTAGTTATGCCTTGGTATGGTGGCACATATCTGTAATCCCAGCACTTGGAAGGCTGAGGCAGGAGGCTCACTGTCCAGTTTAATGCCAGCCTAAACTGCTTATCGAGACTGTCTCAAAAAATAAAAATGTCAATAATTAAACCTATTGACCTGTTAATTTCTGCTAAGATTTATTTTTCTTTCCCACCACTCTTCTCACACATAGATAAAGTTT